CCACTGGGTTACTTTTGTGAATTATAATTGGTGAAAGATTTTCAATTATCAGCAGGACATCAAGTTTAGTATTATAGTAAGCTCCGAGACCTTAACTTCACTGGTTGTCTTTGGTTATCTAAACCATCAAATTCCCATTCAGTTCCCAAGCTAACCAAAGAGAGAATATTGCTGATGGAAAGCATTTAAATGTTTTGAATTTCACAAGGCAGCCAACAGATGTTGAAGTTGAGCCCAAACTGCAAGCATTTCATTCTTACCTTTGTGAAGAAAGAAAATGTTCACCAAACTGGAAACATTTTGTACTTTCTCATCCTCTTTACTTGCAGGATCTATGTCAGTGCCTTTCTGCTAAGATGTTTACCAGAATTGATCAGCATCTACCTTCAGTAATGCATACGCTTTTGAGTATGTGGCTTAAAGTTCCCTTTGGTGAGCTTGGATGGAGCAGCTCCATGAGATGTGAACTTCAGCATGCAATGGAGATCGGAACAAGAACCTGCATTGATTTCTTTGGTGTGCATGTGTGTTACAGACACTGTGGAATCATGTATGGAGCTACCTTCAAAATGAAGTGAACTGAGGGGTGTGCACACACACACACTTGAAGAACTTTACTTTCTCTGTATGGAATGTTGGGTCCAAATAATTATATTTAACTACTACATTTATAAATTGCAGAAAAAATTGCATTTTACTCCAGTATTCTTATTTAATAAATAAATACTTAGTAGTAAGAGACTGGTTTCTCATTCATATGAACTTGGTTACAAACAAGGAAAAAAGTTCATAGTAAAAATAGAAGAGCTCTGTTCAGACCAAAGATACATATCTGCTATCAACTGACCATTTGCTTATTACTAGTCATCTAAATATGTGTTTGGAGAATACAGGGGTTACTGTTATTTTAATTATAGCAAGCAAGGGGAAATATAACTTGTAGAACTAGATCAAGTCAGTGGAGAAGTGGGGAGAGACATCTTGGGTGACTGAAGTGTGGGGTAGGAGTGCCCACCAGGTTTCTGGGTGTAGCAGTAAAAGATTTGATGGGCACAGAGTAGAAGTGATAGTGATCTACCATGAGTTCACCCTCTTATTGAGGTACCTTCCAATTTCCAAGGTTTGGGAGTAACAGGGTAGGGTTGGGATTCTGTTGCTGTATCATCTACCCCACTGTCCAATTGTCCCCTCATTAGGGCTGATATCCGGATTTCTGGCTTCCATGATCTTGTATCCCTTGAAGATCTGGCTGTACTCATGTATCACTTTTCACTGGTAAGGATTAGTGTGATGAGAAGGTTGAAGAAACTAAATAGCTCACAATGGAATAGGATTTAGATTTGCTGGGTCTTCGGGCCTGCAGGCATGGGAATAAATTCAAATGACCCTCCCTCAGAGACCAATTTATTCTGAAAGTTTCATGAATTTGG